GTTTTTTATCTCTAGGACAGCAAGCACTGGGCACTGCAAAACACCATGTGAGTAACAGAGATGGATAGAAAAATCATAAGGGTGAAAACCAGTCACGAACACGTGGAAGAGCTCCATCAACACAGACTATACAGTAAGTCTCTGAGATGATCAGTATACTCTTTGAATATTCTGAAAATTAAATTCTACTCATTAAAGAGAAACTAACACTTACTGATTCACATATCTTGTACCTGAGATTTCCCTGGTTTTCCTTTTGAAGTTTCATGTGCCTTTGTTTCTGCTCACACTTGACTTACGCAGTGTCTGACCTTAGTAGCTGCAGCTCCTCCTCTGACTCCACAGTGCACCCATACGAGGAAAAAAAACAAACAAACAAACAAAAGGAGGTATCAAACAGTGGAGGCCACACACGAACAGTGAAGGAAGGAAAGGACAACCACTTTCAGTTTTGCTTCGGAGACTAAACCCACAAGTTGCAAAAGCTGTTTAAAAATTGCCTGCTTTCTGTCCCCCTACCCTTAGAATTAAGGTCGCTGCCTAAAAGGTTTAAGTCACCCTAAAGCAGCACTGCTCCCTTTGAATCGCAGCTCTGTGAGCACAGGAAACTGAGGTCATTAAGCAGCAGCTCTGCGCGGTGTTGCAATCCAACACCACACCACTCATAGCCTCGAACACATCGGCCCAGCCCGGCCCTGCTGCTGCCACAGGGGACAGCTCAGCCCATCCCACTGCCCTGGCTTCGACAGAGCTCCACACAGATCGCTGTTCCCTAGGGAGAAAATGGCAGCAGGAGGCCAAAACAGTTTTTTCCCCCCTCCTCTCCCCTGAAAAATGTCAGGAAACAAGCAGCTGCAGGAGTTGCAGAAACACTCCAAGGCTGGTAAGGGGAGGAAGGTGAGGAAGAGGTCTGGCCAACTGCAGCAATTCCTCTTTTTCCCCTAACACCCTGGGCCACAGCTGGAGTAAGATTCCCCTCACCAAGCTCCCACAGAAGCCTCTTAACTCCGTGACAGGCTGTGGTATGCAGCATGCCTTCCTTCCATCGGGAGCACAGCCACTGAAGTGACTTCACCACTCACAGCCCAGCTCCTTAGCTTGGCAACACTCATATGCTTAAATCCAACACAGAAACATTTCACTGAGTCCGAGATAGCAGCAATGTTAGTTCCACAGCCAAGTGCCAGAGTCCACCTGGTTATCTCTATTCTAATGAGACAGAGGACACGTCATAAGACTTCTGTAAGACTGGGGTTTTTTTCACTTGTTTGGAATTTTTGATGATGTGAAGAGTAAAAACAGTTGAGAAGGTGATTACTTGTTTCCAACTACTGTAATTTCTTTTACTAATTAAAGAAAACCCCAAGGAAAGATAACTTTGCCTTTAAAAATGATAAATTTTGAGCTATCAAAACACAGGGAGACAGCCCTTGAATTACACAGAATACCTTCATAAAAGTGTTAAATGTTTAACTTCTGGTAAGCACAGAGCTAAACAGAACACGAAGCACTACCGGGAAGTCAGAAACTACAAAACTGAAGTATTTTTACACCAATGCATATAACCATGGGATGTCTGCATCTCAAATGCAGAGAGAGAGACATTCAAAAGCAGAACAGAAGAAAAGACCCAGAAATAGGTGATGAGCATAGAGAAGGAAGTGTAGGCCTATGACCCATGAAGTGAAGACAACTGGCTCCTCATCCTTAAAGGAGATGCAAGCAAAGAGTGATCACTCTGTGATTTAGCAGTGGTTTAGAAGAAGTCTGAAGTCACAAGCGGCACAGAGAAGATGTGCTGTGAAAACTCACAGTGCTCAAGCGACAGAAACTACCAAGTTACCTGGAGGCAGCCTCGACAAGCACCACACCCCCAAACAAAAATCGGATGTTTTTGCTCTTGACGAGTTCAAGTTACTGCGAGGGGGCACCTCCCAGCGCCACGGACACCAAACGCTCACTCCGATTTCAACAGCAGCCGGGCAAACTCAGCAAGGGCGAACTCATCAGCGGTTATTAAGCAGAGAGACATTCCCCGGACTCCGACAATCCCGGAAACTGCTGGAAAGCAGGAGCGTCACCCCCGGGCCCGACCTGCCCCTGTCCCGCTGAGCCGGGCGGGGGCGGACGGTCCCTGACCCCGGAGGAGGGGGAGAAGGAGCGCGGTCCGGCTCCGGTCCCCACGTCCAGGCCCCGCTGCGAGGGGACCGGTACCGCCAGCACCGTCTGCCCCTCCTCGCTGTCCCGCCCGGCATCTGCGGCCCCCGGCCCCGCTGTCCCCGCCCGGTACCTGCGGCCCCCGGCCCCGCTGTCCCTGCCCGGCACCTGCGGTCCCCGGCCCCCCTGTCCCCGCCCGGTACCTGCGGCCGCCGGCCCCGCTGTGCCGCCGCTGTCCCGCGGTCCCTGCCCGTCCGTCCCTACGGGCCCCGCTCGGCGCCGCCGGACTCGGGCGACGCCATCTTGTCTGGGCCCCGCCGGCGGGATGGCGTCACGCCGCGACGTCACGCTCCCCGCCGGGCCAATCGGGAGCGGACTGAGGTGACGTCATCCGACGGGGATGGGGCGGGGAGAGAGATGAGCCACGCCCCTTTCCGCGGGGGGCGGGGCGGGGCCAGGGAGTGTCCCTGTCCCATTCCTTGTCGTGTCCCATTGCCTGTGTCATTCCCTGTCCCTGCCCTTGTCCCTGTCCCTATCCCATTCCCTGTCTCTGTCCCTGTGCCAGCCACGGGCCTGTCCCCATCTCCTACCCTACCCGGGGGCTCCTGCGACACCTCCTGCCCCTCTCCCAGATGGGCTCCACGAGATGGTCCCTAAAGGGCTGGATGAAGGTGGGGAGCAGGGCCCAGGGAGGCCATTTCACCTCTCAGCCCCTTTCCTCAGCATCCACAGCACCCCCCCCACCTCCCTTGTCCCTTCTCCTGAGGGGCTGAGGGGACACAGCCAGTGGGTTTTCAGCCTTTTGATTGGTCTTTGTTCCGAAATGGAGGGGTTTTGTCCCAACTACGGGTGGCAGTTGTGCATGTGAGGGAGGATATGGAGAAGGGAATTAATAGTGAGAAATCAAGACTGAAAACTGCCAAACTAGAATTATCCTTTCTATCCTCAGGGGAAGCTGGGAAGCCTGAGAGGTTCTATTTCACTTTGGCCTCTGACAGCACCCTTGTCTTTGGGGCTAGTTAGAGGAAAACACAAAAAAGTCATAAAAATGATGTTGTATCAGGAAAATGTTTACTGATTCCTATGACTTGAGGCACCATTAGGTTTCAGGTGGTCAGGAACTGCCATTTTTTTCCAGCCTGCCTAGACCTAAAATGTTTTTCTTGTTTCTCCTCATCCTGTTTCTCTTCTCTGCAATGCCACCGGCAAGTGGCAGTCGCTGGGTTTGGATGACCCACAGTTTTGGCTCTATAATCATAGAAAAAAGTGCATATGAGCTGTGTGAACATCAGAAAAATCACTCATCCACCCACATGGGGGTGTAATGAAAAGCGAATACGCTATATCCCTTTAATTCCCCAGAAATAAGGGATTTCCCAGATGGAATGGTGGGGGGAAATGACTGTGTGTAAAATTAGAGAAAACTGGGAAGTTATATTAACAATTTAACAGAAATTGTGACAGTACGGAAATGATAGGGTGAAGTGCAGGTGCTGCTCCCTGGATGGAATGCGGTCAGCATGCCTGGCTTCCCACACACAATCCATGCTGAAGGGGACTAAATGGAGAGTGGAGTGAAAACACTCGATGGTACTTTGTAGCTGAAAAGCCACACAGCAGCTGTCAATCGAGGGAGAAAAATAGAAGATGTCTTGCTGCTGAACCAGTAATTGTGGCGAGATCACAGATGCAATACTGGCACCCACCTTCATCCCAAAGGTTACTGAGGTGTAACAGATGTTACCCACCTCCAAGGTACGATCACCCCGCACTGCACATGATGTATGACTGGAGTTACTCAGGCTGCATCTGAATGCAAAAATAGCATAAAAGTAAGTTAAAAACAGGGAAAAGTTAGCAAAGACTCCATCCTAACTTCTGGAATCAGCTGACAGGCTGAACCTGTCTTCTCCCCAATGGGGCCTGTTGGGTAAGGAACAGACTCTATGTGGGGTGATTGATTATCTCAAGCCAGCCTTCTTTAATTATCAGAGCTTGTCCGTAGAATGCTTTGGATATGTTTTTCCAGCCAGATGCTATCACCAGCAATCTTTGAACCTTAACCTGTCCCAATTTTCTATTAGATTAATAAAGAGTGTTATTGCATAAACTGTTGGTGTGAGTCCTCCGAGGGTACTGGCAGTGGAGTGCAGGGGGTAACGCACTTGGCTGTGGAGGCCTGGGAGAGGGTCTCTCTTATGTTGTTGGCATGTGTGCATCCCTGGATCTTCTCTGGGGTGCCAACAGACCAGTTAAAGGTGTGGAGACCCTCGAGCAGATCTTCATGTTTGTGTGTGACCCTGAACAAGTCAGTCGAACTGCCCTCCGATCCAGTGGATGGTTCAATGGAGAGCTGGACGTGAGGAGGAATTTTTTCACAGAAAGGCTGATTAGATACTGGAATGGGCTGGCCAGGAGGGTAGTGGAGCCACCATCCCTGGAGGTGTTTAAGGAAAAATTGGACGTGGCACTTGGTGCCGTGGTCTAGTTGCCGTGGTGGTAGATCAGTCACAGGTTGGACTCAATGATCTCAAAGGTCTTTTACAGCCTCATTCATTCTGTGGTTCTGTGACCCTGTTCCCGTTATGGGACCCTTTCCTGGGGTTTTGGGAAAAATCCCTCCTTTTCCTGAGGGAATGCGAAGTCCCTGCCTTGCACTGAGCCCGCCCCGCCGCCAGGGGCGCCACCCCGCCGCGGGAAATGCCGCGCTGCCATGGCAACGGCGAGGGGGCGTGGTCAACCCTGCCGCCCGATTGCCGGGCAACGGTGCTGCGGGCGTGGCGGGGCCGCCGCCGCAAAGCTGCGATGAGACTGTCGTAAAAACAAGAGTCGAAAAAACCTGGGGTGCCGTAAAATGCCGTGAGGCGCGGCCGGCGGGGCCTGAGGGACAGAGCCCGGGCCGGTCCCGCTCCATATGCCCCGAACCGCTCCGAACCGCTCCATGTGGGGCCGCTCCTCGCCCGCAGCCGCTGCCGCAGCCTCATCCTTCTACTATGGCCCGGAAAACAGTTAGCAGGAAGCGGAAAGCGGCGGCAGCCGCCGCCGCGGGGCCTGGGGGGCTCCAGGGGGAGCAGGTAAGCGGAGGAGGGAGAGAAGCGCTTGTTCTCGGCGGTGTGAAGGGGGATAAGCCCCGGTTCCCGGCGGGGAGGGGAAAGAGAGAGTGAGAGAGGGAGAAAGGGAGGGAGTTGGGGAGGGAGGGAGGGGTGACCCTGGCCAGGGGCGGTGGTGTCCTGGTGCCGGGGGGGCGGGTGTCATTTGGGGGGGGTGCCGGGAGGGGGGGCAGGGGGTGCTGGAGAGGGGCAGAGCCCGGTCCCGGTGTCACTTGGGGAGGTGTCCGGGGTGGGCAGGGGTACCGGGGAGGGGCATCCTCGGGTCCCAGTGACACCTACGGGGCCCGCAGTGTCACCCGAGAGGGGCGGCCCCGGGTCCTGCTGTCACCGGGGGGATCCAGGGGAGGGGCAGCCCCGGGTCCCGCTGTCACCGGGGGAGGAGCAGCTCCTGGTCCTGGTTTAACTCAGGCAGGATAGCCCCGGTCCTGGTGTAACCCCCTCCCCGCCGGGCTCGCGGAGCCCCGTTGGGCTCGGCCGTTCGCGATGCCCCGGCCCCCGCCCGGCGGAGCGATGGTGCCGGGGCAGCTCTGGCCCGGCCGGAGGAGGCCGCTGGGCCCCGCGGTTGGTGTCATCCCCGGAGTGTGACCCCCAAACCTGCCGACCTCCGGTTTCTAAACCTGCCCCTCTCCCGGTCCTAGCGCCCTTCCCGTTTCCACGAGCAAACGTCGCCCCAACGGTGCCGAACGGCCGCGGGCTGTCGTTAATGTCATCGCAGCGTTACTGCTCCTTTAACAAATATTTATATGTTTAATTCCACGCTGCTAAAGGCCCTTTCAGCGTTTCGGGGCTCATCTCCACGCACGGTGTTCCGTGGGTGGTTTGGAAGGCTGCAGGTTTTCCGCCGGGAATATCGTTGAATTTTGGAGGGTGATGCCTAAAGTTTGTTCCAGTTGCTTTATGTGATTTCCATCTTTATTTTTCACAGTATGTGTGGGATCACTCGGTGCACAAAAGGAAAAGGCTCCCCCCGGTGAAGAGGTCCCTGGTGTACTACCTGAAAGGGAGGGAGCTCCGGATGCAGAATGAATCCAGCTACCACCGCCTGTTGCACGGATACGCAGCCCAGCAGCTCCCCAGCCTCCTGAAGGAGAGAGAATTCCACCTCGGAACCCTCAATAAAGTGTTTGCCTCCCAGTGGCTGAACCACCGGCAAGTGGTGTGCGGGACGAAATGCAACACGGTGAGTGCCACCTCCCGCGGTTTCCTTTTCCCTCTGATAATTACTCCACCTCCCCCGGATGGTGCTTACTGCAGTCCAAGTGTGTGAACTGCCAAGGAAAACTTTAGGAAGTAGTTCAGAGCAGAGTCAGAATCGTGTAAAATTAACTTTGAGTGAAGGCGGTGCTCAGGGACGAGCTGTTCTCGTCTGAAAGTGTGGCAGGCGCTGCACACAGCATCTGTCTGATCTCTCCAGAGTGATTTACGTCCCTTTGCAGGATGGAGAGCAGCACTGGGGTTGGATCTTTTCTCTAGTCCTGCAGGTGGGAAGTTAATGGATGGGCATTAGCGTTTCTAAATGACGGCTGTCAGTGCCTGGCAGAACTGGCTGCTAAGAGCCCTTTTTTTCATTTATGCTCAGTCTTACAGGTTTGATTTTACACACAGTTCTGTGCTGATGACTTTTAAAAGTTGTTATAAAACTGTGCTTAATCTCCAGATTTTTTAAAAGAGTAGCCAGAAATGTTCTAAACATAAAAAAAAGAATTTCAGATTTTTGGGCTTATCTTTTGTTTGTTGACTTGGCGATTCTTCACTCTAAAACTGCAGTGTTCAAATAGCTTTTCTTCTTCATCTATCTATATATAGTTCTGCAAGAACTAAAAACTCCTCAGGCTCCTGAAGTGATGCTTTGAAACATTTTAGGGGAATATTAAAACAGTATCCTGTGGGATTAATAAGTGGAAGAGACGATACTCCTTAGATGATATTTTCCCCACCACAGTTGGTAGCCCAAGCAAATTCATGTGTGAAGTTCCAGTTGAATTACTGCAAAATCCCAGGCGGGATTGTTTAGTGCTACAGACATGAACCAGGCTTTTCAAGGAATGCACAGATCAAGCAGCTCTTAAACCTCAAAGTGTATCCGTTGCTGCGGTTGCTTCTTTGCCTCCAGATCCCTTTTTTGTGCCGGAGCCACACTCAGTGCTCTGACCAGCAAAGGACAGTGGGTTGGTTTTTTTCCATCTCAGATGTTCGTAGTTACACAGCAGGAGGCTCTCATGCCGTAGCTCTTAAGAAGTAAGGCCTAACTGTAAAAACAAAGCAACCTTTTAGCAGCAATGAGCCCGAAATAGACCTCTCTGCCTACTTTCTCCACGTATGTTCATCTCCTCAGCCAGTCAGCAGCCAGCACTGGTCGTGGAGCAGCTTACAGGAGACAAACTCCTGCTGAAACACAAGCTCCCAAAAATCTTGCTTACTCTAGCAAGATGACTGCCTGTTTTATGGAGCTGCAGTGATTTCGCTGCGTTCTGTAACTTTTGCAGCTCCAGCGCAGCTGCGGCGAAGATAAATGGACAAGTGGGTTGTTAACGCAACCTTGCAGAAAATTGTTTGGGACCAAACAATCGTGAAGCTGGAGAGGGATTCAGCAGTATTGTTGTTCCCTCTGCACGTGCTGCAACCAAGTGTGTGCTTCCGCAGCCAGACTTAACATTGCAGACGGACCTCGTCTGTCGTTGGGCAAAACACGGTGATTTCAAAAGAAGTCACTGCAGCTTTGTGAAATATGGTGTGTGAGTTACAAGCACTGTAGTAGCTGTACTTTGTTTGCTTTGGGTCCACATTTGAGCAAGTAGAGCATTAAACTCCTCACTCTAATTACGAAATTCCTCTCTCTCATCTCCTTCGTGAGCGACATAATAAAGAAAAAATTCCTTTGCTGATTGTCATGTGCTGAAGTTGGGAGTAAATCTAAAACACCCTGGTTGACTTCAATGGGGTTTGCTGCATTGGAGTTGCACTTAATTAAAGTTAATGCAACAGAAAAATATAAACTGTAGCAGTTATTTTAATCAGAGCTTGACTGTGGCACTGAGCGCTTTTAGCATGTAATTTATAAATTGCCCTCGGCTGTGCAGTGCCAGAAGGATTCACTATTCTTAATAACAAAACAAAAATACACTTCTGTCATAAAGGAGGAGGATTGGGTTTAGTCACTTGGCAGTGCTAGTCACTACAAAGACTGTGGGAATATGGAGCTCTCCATCAATTGCACATTTTTAATGAAGATTATGATTTGTTTAGTGATGCTGGGTAACTTTTTATCCTTGAAAACTATCCTAGGGTATGATTCTGCATATGAAATATCTTTATTTTTCTCCACTGGATCCTGGTGCTCACAGTTGAGCGACTGTAAATCAAATATTTGAGTTTCTTAAAAGTGCATCCTTTTCCTGATAGATTTAGAATTGTGGGACCCGTATGCAATCACTTGGGCTTTGCTGAGACAGGATTCCTCTTTGCAAAAATCTCTTAGACCTTGCGTGCATGGGCTTCTCAGTGTTTTCCAATTCAAATGACTGAATAGGGAAACTCAGGAGAGGTGCAGATTTTTAGGCTGTGTCCTGATAGGCATCTGAATTACCAAACACTGATGCCACAAAGTCTCAGAAGAAGATACTGTCTGTAATCTGCATCTTCTGTTCGAGCTTCTTGGAGAAACGCTGAGGCTTTGGTAGAAGACAAGCTTATGGCAAACAAAAACACTGAACATAAGAGGCCTGTGGGGTTTTTTTTCCTCCTTACTATTTCAGGAAATTACAAAGAATAAAGTAGATAAAGTCTAAAAAGCAGTTTCAGTAATCATTTTGCAGCTTCTTTTGTTCTGTTAGTTATGTATATGTGTTCAGGATATAATTCTTTTCCCGATTGTGAAGCTTATTAGTGCCTGGAATTCAATTTGTGTTTTTTTTTTCTTTTTCTGGGCCGGCCCGATAGATGTGATTGTGCTTAACTTACTGAATGCCCAGATGGCATTTCCAAGGTATGCAGGGGTTGGTTTCTGAATGCTGGCTGATACCTTTTTTCTCTTCAGTAGACTCCTGTGTTGCTTTGGGTGCCCTGCTGTAAATCACCAGCTCTTTTTTCTTAGTAGAAACTTTAAATTTGTTCAAGAGGTCCCGTGTCTGTTCCGTGCATCTCATACAGTTGGCCCGGTGTTGTAGTCCTGGGGTTGTGGTGGGGAGAACACAACACTCAGTTACTTCTCCCTCAGTAAATATGAACTGGCCATGGGAAAAATGATTTCCCCTTGCTTTCCAAGTTAATGTATCTCCTAGCTTTGCACATGTGATGAAGCATCAAGACAACAGCTCATTTCTGATTACAGAGCGGAAATAACAAGTCCTGCTCCTGCAGTTTGTAGCTCTACCCAAAGTCCAATGAACAGTGACCAAAACTCAGCATAAATAACCCTCTAGTGCCTGTAGTTGATCACTTTGTTCACCTTTCTTTCAGAGTAAATAGCCAGGTGTTGTTTCTTGTACTGAGTATTTGGTTTTCTGTCAACTGCATGTGATACTCATGTCTGTCTTCAGAGCGTGGTAGTTTCTGTGCCAGGTATAGTGTGATGCCCTTTAGCAGACAAAGTCTCTCACTTCTCCTTCCTTTGCCATCTGCCAGCATATGTTAATTGTCTGCCAGCCTCCTGAAGTGACACACAGAGGGCAAGACACAAATAAAAACTGACAAATGCACAAATCCAATGATATCGAAGTCTGTGTCTATTAGCTAGTCGTGCTTCAGAGGTTCACAGCAAGGCAGAGTGCCTGATGGCACGTTCTTGTCTTGGAAATGTGAATTTGGGGTCAACCAACTCGCAGGGTGCTTTTACCTCTCCTCACTTCTCAGGTGGTTTCTTTACATTGTGGATTATGTCACTTTGGACCCTTTCAAGGAGGATGTGCAAGGCCATTACCCACTTGAGTTGCATCTACTGCACAACCTGTAAGTTTTGTGCTAAGATGAGTGCATGTTAGTGTGCTGATAAGTTGCCAAGCCACTCTCCATGATATTTGAACAGTCATGGCAGTCAGGAGAAGTCCCAGATGACCGGAAATAGGGAAATAAGGTACCTATATTTAAAAAGGGTAGAAGAAAGAACATGGGAACTACTGACCTGTCAGCCTCACCTCTGTGCCTGGGAAGGTCATGGAACAGATCCTCCTAGAAACTCTGCTGAGGCACATGGAGGACAGGGAGGTGATTTGAGACAACCAGCACGGCTTCACCAGGGGCAAGTCCTGGCTGACCAGTGGCCTTCTGTGATGGAGTGACTATATCAGTGGACAAGGTTACATATGTCACTTATCTGGACTTCTGTAAAGCCTTTGACATGTTCCCCCACTACATCCTTCTCTCCAAATTGGAGAGTGATGGATTTGACGGGTGGATTAGGAATTGGTTGGAAGGTTGCATCCAGAGGGTAGTGTCAATGGCTCAGAGTCCCAATGGACATCAGTGACAAGTGGAGCTCCTTAGAGGTCCATATTGGGACCAAGTGTTATTTAATATCTTCATTAATGACATAGACAAAGGGATGAAGTGCACACTCAGCAGATTTGCAGATGACACCAAGCTGAGTGGTGCTGTTGACACACCTGAAGGACGGGATCCCATCCAGATGGACCTGGACAGGCTCAAAGAGTGGGCCCATGGGAACCTCACAAGGTTTAATAAGACCAAGCGCAAGGTGCTGCAGTTGGGTCAGAGCAACTCCTGGTAACATTCCAGGCTGGGGGATGAACAGATCAAAAGCAGCCCTGCCAAGAAGGACTTGTGGGTGCTGGTGGTTGAGAGGCTGGACATGACCCAGCCATGTGCACTCACAGCCCAGAAACCAATCCTGTCCTGGGCTGCATCCAAAGCAGGGTGGGCAGCGGGTGAGGGAGGGGATTCTGCCTGGTAAGACCAGCACCTGCAGTGCCGCATCCAGCTCTGGGGTCCCCAGCACAGGAAGGACATGGACCTGTTGGAGTGAGTCCAGAGGAGGCACCAGGATGATCAGAGGGATGGAGCAGCTCTCCTGTGGGTAGAGGCTGAAAGACTGTTGTTGGGGTTGTTCAGCCTGGAGAAGGCTCTAGGGAGACATTATAGCACCTTCCAGTACTTAAAGGGGGATGTAAAAAGGATGGGGACAGACAAATTGAACAGAGCCTGTAGCAGCAGGACAAGAGGTAA